CCTGTAATCAGAGATGATAAAGATAATCTTTATCCTCTACTCTTTTCAGTGTTTCATATGCGTATCAGATTATTTTTGATCATTTGGGAGGACTCATGTCAGTTTGTTAAAATAATTTGAAAATGGATTTGATTCTCATTCAGTGTTGGGGTTCGTTTCCTGAAATTGGCAGGTTGAAGTTAGATAAAAGTACTTTTTCCTGGTTAACCTGCCTGTAGATCCTGGGCAGTTGCTCTGTCCACTGTAGTTTGTTTTGTGAATTTTGTAAGGTGATAATGAGAGCTTTTAAGATTATACAAATTTCAAAACCTGATAGGTCTTTAGACAACTAAAAACACAGCTTATGAAGTATTTGAAATGATTGATTCAGTGGCTGTAGAAAGCAACAATGTAGAAAGAATTTAAATCCAACCCATTGTAACATGACTCTTATACTAGGGTGAGCAGAGACTGTCAGCAAGCGAGGGTGCACTGCTCTTCTTTGTAATGCCAGTTCCTTCATCCACATATTTCAAAATAAACTTTGGAAAAAAAAAACAAAAAAAACAAGAAGCTACTGCTTGTTACATTTATGTATTTGTGAAAAAGTTGAGCTTATCATGGAAAAGAGATGACCACCTTTAGCATTCCCAGTATTGACATACTGAAGAGTATATGTAGGGTTGAGTAGGGTACCAGGGTGCATTCATTGACTTTTATAATACATCAAACTTGATAACATCAGAAAAAATGAGCTTGGTCACTTATTTATGTAACCTCTAACTATTTGCGTCCCAAATCTCATGTGAGGCAGGCATATATTATGGTGGCCACTGCTCACTGTGGTAACATTGATTGATGTTGTGGTGTAGAATGTCCACACTCATATGTAAGAAGGAAAACTATAAAATTTCAGCTTCTAATGACCAATGCTTTATTTTTAGTTTTAAATTATAAACCATGAGTGTCATTGCAAAACAATAGCAAGGCTTCTGTGATTCATGCTCTTGCAAAGACCAACAAACTCGTCATACATATCCCGGCAGGATAGAACTTGGACTGCTTCCTTTGATGACAGGTTGCCAGAGAGATCTATGAGCTGAATCTTGCCAAAATTTGCTTGTGGGTATTTTTTGTGCTTGAGTCTGCAAGGCCTTTTAGCACTATAGTTATTCTTTTTGACAACTGTGCCATTATCCTTCACTTGCACTGAGCAATTTATATGGCTTTGTGTCATTTTGGTTTCTTTGTAGGGCATTAATGTTAATTTTTCTGAAGTTTGGTGTGGTCCTTCTATGAATGATTACCACAGAAAGTGCCTGTTATTAGAACTTTTCAAGTGTGGAATTTCTTAAGGATATGAAAAACCCATTTTGTTTGTCTTAAAAGTGTTTATGTTTTGTCTTATTAGTCATCCAAACCACAAAATATTTTTCCCGAGAGTATTGAACTTAGAACTCATTCATCTTGTTTGTGTCCCTGAACAGCTTTTGAGGATTACTTGTCTTGGCAACAGTAAAACTTTCTTATGAATTTAAAAAACATTGCCATATGTCGAGTTTATTATGCAATGTGTAGTACATTATCTTATGTTTTATTTCTACTATATTTAAGCTTGCCCTCATATACTCCATTTTATTTAAGTATTGTACTATAAGGATGATAGGTTTACACAATTTTTCTCTTCTTATTAGAAAAATCAGTATTGTTTGCCTGTGTAATATAAAAAAGACAAGTAAAAACAAAGTTGATGAAGGTGATGCTATAGCATATAATGATGTTGAAGATGTATAAGGTTTTAAACTGAAAATTCTTTTTAATGTAGCCAGTGATTTATGTAAATGTTATTGAAACAGACCTAGCTTTAAGGACTGGAATAAGATATTGGTTGATCTATTGTCTGTCACAAAAGAGCAACTTTGCTTCTATAGGATATAATTCTGCCTAATTCTTTTTTAATAAGCCTTAATATTCTTTCTTTATCTTTTAGCTGTCCGTGAAGAATTGCTTCATCAGAGGATCAGTCGTGCGATATGTGCAACTTCCTGTAGATGAAGTAGACACGCAGCTGCTCCAAGATGCGGCAAGGAGAGAAGCGCAGCAACAACGGCAGTAGATTGTATGGTTTTTATTTTTAGTTTGGGAAGAAGGTGGTCTCGTCACCTTTCGAATTCTGTTGGCAGAAATAAATGTTTTGTCTTCATAGGTTATCTTCCTTTTAACTGAAATTGATTTAGTTTTGTCTTCTCCTTTTTATAAAGAAGTTAGATGCTGAAATATTCATTGTATTGTAAATGCAGATGATATTAAGTAAATGAGATAATAACCTTTGTTGTACACATTTTTAGATATTAAAACCTCTCTACAGCATATAATGGTGAAAATTAAATGAAAGAGCATTTCCATTTTCTAATTTCTGTGAAATGATATGCTTAAGTTTAAGCAAGAAAAAATAAATAAAGTGGATAGGGTAAGAATTATAATTTATCATGTGACTTTTCCAAATAAAAGATAAAAATCATTAAGTTTATTCATGCCTAATATATTTTTAAAATGGTCTTGAAAACATTGGCACTAAGCTTTATAAATGTTATTCTGAAATTCTTGTCTATCTATCTATCTATCTATCTATCTATGCAAATATATATATATATATATATATATATATATATATATATATATATATATATATATATATATATATATATATATATATTATATATATATAACATATTTGTATATATGTGTATATGCCTATATATAATATGTAAATGTGTATATGCATATATACCTACATATATACCTATAGATAGATAGATAGATAGATAGATAGATAGATAGATAGATAGATAGATAGATAGATAGATAGATAGATAGATAGATAGATAGATAGATAGATAGATAGATAGATAGATAGATAGATAGATAGATAGATAGATAGATTAGATAGATAGATAGATAGATAGATATAGATTAGATAGATATAGATAGATATACACACATATATATATACATATATGTATACAAACATATATATTATAAATATACATATATACATTATATATATACATATATATATATATATATATATATATATATATATATATATATATATATATATATATATATATATATATATATAATATTATTGTGTGTGTGTGTGTGTGTGTGTGTGTGTGTGTGTGTGTGTGTGTGTGTGTGTGTGTGTGTGTGTGTGTGTGTGTGTGTGTGTGTGTGTGTGTGTGTGTGTGTGTGTGTGTGTGTGTGTGTGTGTGTGTGGTGTGTCACACACAAAAGACAGCAGACAGATAGGTAGAGACAGAAGGACAGAAAGCAGAGATAGAAAGACAGAAAAATTCACAACCTGCGTGACTGACAAGAGAGCAGATCGAGATAGGTAGGAAAGATAACAGTTAGCAGACAGACAGTCTGGCAGAGAAACAGGCAAGCATGCAAGCACAGCAAGTGGTAGGGAGACAGATAAAGTATTTATAAATCACAAAAATAGAAGGTGTGTGTGTGTGTGTGTGTGTGTGTGTGTGTGTGTGTGTGTGTGTGTGTGTGTGTGTGTGTGTGTGTGTGTGTGTGTGTGTGTGTGTGTGTGTGTGTGTGTGTGTGTGTGTGTGTGTGTGTGTGTGTGTGTGTGTGTGTGTGTGTGTGTGTGTGTGTGTGTGTGTGTGTGTGTGTGTGTGTGTGTGTGTGTGTGTGTGTGTGTGTGTGTGTGTGTGTGTGTGTGTGTGTGTGTGTGTGTGTGTGTGTGTGTGTGTGTGTGTGTGTGTGTGTGTGTGTGTGTGTGTTGTGTGTGTGTGTGTGTGTGTGTGTGTGTGTGTAGTGTGTGTGTGTAGAGAGAGACAAGTCATGTAGTTTTTCTGTTGATCTGTGTTTACCTCTATCCATCTATTTTTTATCTAATATTTTTGCCAAGATTGACTGTTCAATTTTTATCCTTCTAATGTCATGGATTTTGAACTTAAGCACAAGGTTCATGTTTACAGGTCCATGGTACCTACAACATCATGTGATTCTACAATAAGGGGGATTAACCCAGGTATACAATAGCTAGGTAAACTCCACTCATTAACGCCCAGGGGGGAAATGCCTTGCTCCTTGCCAAAAAAAAAAGGTTGAAGAGAAAAAAGCAAAAACATTTAATGATAGCTATCAACTTTGATACGGGGAAGCATTAACCTTCTCCTGTACCCCCCCGGTCCCCATACTCCTATGCCCAATCTCCCTTGCTTCCCGCACCTGTTGATGGAAAACCATCGGAAATGCCAGGCTCGAGCTATGTGTCTCCGGGTATGAAGGAGGTTTCTCTGTTAATTAACTACTGAATTTGGAAACGACATTCTGGGGGGGACGGGAAAGGGGGGGTTCCTCCCATAGCGACATAACCGGTCCACAGTTGTGGGTGAGGCATGGGAGGAATGTGAGGAGGGGAGGGGGGAGGGGGGGGGCCTCTTTGTCTCTCATTAAGGAGGGGGCGTTTGCTTTGGGAAGGGCGGAAGTCGTTAGGTATGTGTTCAACAGTGTGTTAAGTAGCAGGCACACTGCGATGTTTTATATACAGTCAAATTGATATATATTCTTAAAGATTTATGATTTTTTTTTTCAATTTATGAAAAAATATGCATCAAGAGTAAATATGATAATTAATGGTTTAGGGTAATGGAAAAAGAAAGAAAGAAAGAAAAAAATAAAGCACTTGTTCTTTTAAAGAATATTAACAATATAGAATACTATAAACATAATCCATTAAAAAAATTTAAAAGTTTTCCACAGTCAAGGAATCAATTTTCCATTTATTATATTTAGGTAAAAATTGATAAGACTTGGAAATAACAAATGATAATGAACATAAAATATAGAGAAAAAATAGCACAATCTTTTCTTTATTAAATGCAATCCTTTTAATACATCATATGTTAAGATGTCCATTATTTTGTGGATGTACTTGTGACTTCAGTATCTTAACAGCAGATAATGATCTTTCAATAATGATATTTCAATATTATGATCAC